TGTATGCGTTTCGCATTTGGTAGCCAACAGTGAAGTTCGCTTCACTGTATTTCGCTGTATGATGATAATGATATTTGGACATTCGTTTTGCTTATATTTGCTTCCCAAAGGGATTGAGGAGCCATAGTATTGTTTGCACAGGTATATGTATGAACTGTATATAAATATTTATCATCGGCTTGCGGGAAACCCTAATGTCAGCGGTATAACTTTGATGCCAGTATCAGAGGTTTGGGGATTGGGATGCGGGGCACATGAAATCAAGGTTGAACAGTTATAGTGTTTTTCACGCTACACTTTTTGATTTTTGCATTTTAGTTTATTTTTTACGGGGCACAGGATTTCAACAGACAGACCGCACAGCCTTCGCGCCACCGACTTCTTTTCTGAGCCATATGTCCTAGCGTTTCTAACCAATGATAATCCTCATTCCTTTTGGCTCCATCCTGAAATTTGGGCAGTACCAACCGTAGTCAAAGCTGAAGTTAACTACTTCATACATTTATGCGATATCATGGTGCGGCTATCCTGACGTTTCTTCCAGTCTTCCCCAGCACATGCAATAAAGAGCACGGAATAGTAGTTAATGGTTAGGCATACACAGATCCTAACCAAACAATCGGAGGCGGTGTATCGAATAAAAGATAATTTGATTAACAGTTCTTGACTTTGCCCGTTTTGTGCGTTTATTCATTCAAAGACATTCAGATACACCTCCTCCACTTTTCAATTTTGGAAGTGATAATACCTGTTTATCGTTATCGATTCAGCAGTACTTTGCTCATCTTGTTTCTATTCCCCTTTCCTGCAGTGAAAGCAAAGATGAGAACAAAATGCTTGTATGTGATGTGTGTGACAAAGGCTTTCATACCTACTGTCTACGACCACCCGTGTCTAGTATTCCTCGAAACGGTTTCAAATGTGAACGCTGTCGTGTTTGTTTGGACTGTGGAGCCGGTCGTGCCACATTTCTCAGCGGACTGGATTCACCAGTCGAGTTAACCAACTTGCAAGTAGGTGAACCAGTTTGTTTTCGTTCAGGCTTTTTGCATAGCATGCGAGTTACATTTTATTCATTGTTATTTTAACTTAACCCAATATCAGTGATTTTGTCCCTGTTGCAAACTTGCCGGTGAGAAGATGAATCGTCTATAACGGGATTGCTCAGTGACATGATATGTCTGCTTCTATCACCGGGTGATTTCCAAAGATTGGCGTTTCACATCAAAGAATCATTTATGCCTCACTAAAGATGATCGACTTCGGGGGACCACATCAGCACGCTACAGTTGCTACAATTTCGATTATTCTACTAGTCCCTAGGGAGGTCACAATTAATCGATTCAATTACTGGTCACAAAATCTGCAATAAGTGACCACAAGAGTGGCCTGTCTTCTCGACAATATGGATTACTCTCCTGCCGCTGCTCATATTCTGGTATCCTCTTCGGAGGTTTGAGATCAAGTATGTATTATTATATTTTACACTTGTCTGAGGATAGACTGTGTGCCAAACAAATCATGGTACGGTAATCTTTATAAAAAAGATGTTCCATGAAGTGTGTACGTTATTTACATTGGTCTCGATGTGGACAGTATCTTAGTAGATAATAAATCACAACACAAGCATCTTTAAAATAAAGAAATCACTATGCTTTATTTGAAGCCGCAATATTTCCAGGTTACCCCCCCCCCC